TATATTTAAAAAGCTACAATTTATTTTGGCCATATTCAATATATTTCAAAATATATATAAATATATTGAATATGGCCAACATTGTAGTATTTCAGATATATGTCAATATATTTGGGAAGGATATTTTTTAAATATATTTAAAATATATTTTCCTTTCATGTAGGAAAATCCAAAAATGGATCTAGATCCCCGGATACCCATATGGAAGAAAATTATATTTGAAATATATTTGAAAAATATTCTACCCAAATATATTGCCATATATTTAAAAAGCTACAATTTTGGCCATATTCAATATATTTCAAAATATATATATATAAATATATTGAATATGGCCAAAATTGTAGTATTTCAGATATATGTCAATATATTTGGGAAGGATATTTTTTAAATATATTTAAAATATATTTTCCTTTCATGTAGGAAAATCCAAAAATGGATCTAGATCCCCAGATACCCATATGGAAGAAAATTATATTTGAAATATATTTGAAAAATATTCTTCCCAAATATATTGCCATATATTTAAAAAGCTACAACTTTGGCCATATTCAATATATTTCAAAATATATATAAATATATTGAATATGGCCAACATTGTAGTATTTCAGATATATGTCAATATATTTGGGAAGAATATTTTTTAAATACATTTGAAATATATTTTTCTTCCTTGTGGGAGAGCCGCATTCATTTGTGCCTTTTACATCTTGCCCGGCGACGATACGTAACGTTATGCGCCCAGGGTTGCTCAAAGACGGTTAAAAAAGCCCACAAAGGTTTATAGTTAAAGATTAAATCAAACGGCCCCCCAAAGACGTATCACAATTAAAAGCCCGACTGATTCCACAGCAAAACTGCAAACCGCTCGTATTGCCGCCATTAGCATATAAATGGTGATCGCCATCGTCTTTCGGTGTAATTATGAAATATTTTGCCATCCCGCTGTGAAATATGGCGGCGCCTGGGGCCCCATAACAACTACCTGATCGGTAACATTGTATTTTCTCCCTAACTGGCAGACTCCTAATGCCGCAGGTAATTGTTTCCGAAGTGTTATTTGCATCCATAATGAACTTAAACGGGTAATAAATGTTCTGCCAATGTAAGCCCGGGTTCAGACCGATGCGGGGCGGAATTTGCAGCGTTTTCAGTGCGAATTCCGCACCGCATCAGAATCGCACCCCGTTCATGCGAACCGCTGCGGGTGTGTATGTTAAGGCAACAACCCCCCCGAAAGCGGTCCTGCGATGTGCAGAATCGGATCACATAGGTGTGAATACCCGTGCGATCCGATTCTAGTGCGGACCCAAAAAAGGGTCCTGCACCTTTTTGGTGCGGATGCGGTGCGATTTGAGCCATATGTACGACTCCGATCGCACCGCACACAAATCGCATGTGATCTGCAGAGGAATGCGGTGCGGTTCTTGTGCGAATCACATGCGATATACTGCACCGCATGTATGTGAACCCGGGCTTAAGGGTCTGTTTTATTTATTTCTTTTTACAGCGATTATTCAATCACTTTTTCAAAATCAATCTTTATTCGAGAGACTTGCAAATACACCGTGTTCCAAATTATTCTGCAAATTATATTTTTCTCATTTCCCTAAATAATTGATGTAAATAACAGTCAGCATAATTCTCATGTTATCAACTATTAACCACTTGACCTCCTGAGGATTTACCCCCCTTAATGACCACGCCTCTTTTTGCTACTCGGCGCTGCACTAATTCAACTGATAATTGCGCGGTCATGCAATGCTGCACCCAAACGAAATTTACGTTCTTTTTTTCACACAAATAGAGCTTTCTTTCGGTGCTATTTGATCGCCTGTGTGCTTTTTTTTTTTCACGCTATAAACAAAAAAATGCCAACAATTTTGAAGAAAAACAATATTTTTTACTTTCAGCTATAAAAAATATATAGTAAACTCAAAGTTGGTTATAAATTTAGGCTAAAATGTATTCTGCTCCATGTTTTTGGTAAAATAAATCCCAATAAGTGTATATTGATTGCTTTGTGTGGAAGCTATATCGTCTACAAACTATGGTATAGATACTGCAATTTACGCCATTTTTCTGCTATACAGCGCTGCGCTAGTTTAATGGACAATTGCGCGGTCATGCAATACGGTACATAAATGAAATTTACATCCTTGTTTTTCCCACAAATATAGCTTTCTTTCGGTGGTATTTGATCGCCTGTGCGGTTTTTATTTTTTGCGCTATAAAAAAAAAAGTCTGACAATTTTGAGGAAAAAAAACAATATTTTGGACTTTTTGCTATAAAACATGTCCAGTAAAAAAAAATGTAAAAATCTAATTTAGTCATAAATTTCTGCCAAAATGCATTCTGCGACATGTCTTTGCTAAAAAAAACCCCAATACGTGTAAATTAATTGGTTTACGTGAAAGTTATAGCGTTTACAAATGGCGGGAAAGATACTGGGATTTTTTTTTTTTTTATACTAATAATGGCGGCGATCAGCGACTTATGGCGGGACTGCGGGACTGCGGCGGACATTCTGACATTGGGGGGTACTGACTTGGGGTCACTGACATCCCCAGTGACACCAATACAGTGATCAGTGCAAAAAAAAAAAAACACTGACACTGTTTTAATGGCAATGGGGAGGAAGGGGTTAACTTTATTTTCAGGGAAAGGGTTAACTGTGTGAGGGGAGTGTTTTACTAGGGGCGGGGGTGTGTACTGCAGAAAACACCACTGATCGGGAGAGATAAACTCTTCTGCCCCGATCAGCGTGTCCTGGAGCTGTCAAGGAACTGACAGAAAGCACAGCTACTGCAGCCCTGCTCTCTGTCAGTGATTGCTGCCGATCGCCGGGACATAGCCGGTAACGACCGGCTGTGACCCGGCAGCTGACATCCGCGGCTGTGATTGGCGGGACAGGTAGGGCGGCGGCGCGCCTCGCGCGCGCCCTCTACCTGTTTACAAAACACACGTTTTAAAACGTGGTTTTGCCCAGCCATGCCGCCCTGCCGCCGTATTTATACAGTGGCTGGGCAGCATGTAGTTAAGAGTACAATTCACATTTTATTGAACAAACCTCCTAATGATAACAGGATTTTTGTTCCAAATTATTCCGCACAGGAAGTTTCAAAACACTTTATAGGTTGTAAAGAACTGAAAATTGTCATTTGTTGTGTTTGCAGCATATTTACTGAAATCTAAAGCTATTTCAATCAAACTTTTAACAACATTTTAACTTTTTAAACATTTGAACCGGTCATGTTACATTGTAACATAGGAGCCCTTATTGATAGCAGATCACAAGTCTTGCATCCATTGAACTTGTGAGTTTTTGGACAGTTTCTGCTTGAATTTGTTTGCAAGATGTCAGAATAGCCTCCCAGAGCTGCTGTTTGGATGTAAACTGCCTCCCACCCTCATAGATCTTTTGCTTGAGGATGCTCCAAAGGTTCTCAATAGGATTGAGGTCAGGGGAGGATGGAGGCCACACCATGACTTTCTCTCCTTTTATCCCCATAGCAGCCATTGATGCAGAGGTATTCTTTGCAGCATGAGATGGTGCATTGTCATGCATGAAGAGATGATTTTATTACGGAAAGAACAGTTCTTCCTTCTGTACCAGAGAAGAAAGTGGTCAGTCATAAACTCCACATACTTTGCAGAGGTCATCTTTACACCTTCGGGGGCTCTAAAGGGGCCGACCCGCTCTGTTCCCATGATTCCAGCCCAAAACATGACTCCACCACTGCCTTGCTGATGTCGCAGCCTTGTTGGAACAGGGTGGCCGTCCACCAACCATCCACTACTCCATCCATCTGGACCATCCAGGGTTGCACGGCACTCATCAGTGAACAGGACTGTTTGAAAATTAGTCTTCATGTATTTTTCTGCCCAATGCAGCCATTTCTGCTTGTGAGCATTGGTTAGTGGTGGCCGAATAGAAGGTTTATGCACAGTTGCAGGACTCTGGAGGACTCTACACCTTGATGTCCGTGGGACTCCAGAGGCACCAGCAGCTTCAAATATCTGTTTGCTGCTATGTAATGGGATTTTAGCAGCTGCTCTCTTGATCCGATGCATGGATCTGGCAGAAATCTTCCTCAATGTGCCTTTATCTGCACCAACCCGTCTGTGCTCTGAATCAGCCACAAATCTCTTCATAGTGCGATGATCACGCTGAAGTTTTGACATGGGTGTGAATACCCATGCGATCCAATTCTAATGCGGACCCAAAAAGGGTCCTGCACCTTTTTTGGTGCGGTGCAATTAGAGCCATACAAAATGTACAGCTCCAACCGCACCGCACACAAATCGCATGTGATTTGCACATATATGCGGTGCGGTGCGGTTCCTGTGCAAATCAAATGCGATATACCGCACCGCATGTATGTGAACCCAGCCTTAAGGGTCTTTTTTTTTTTCTTTTTAACAGCGATTATTCAATAAAAATCAATCTGTATTGTAATGAGAGACTTGCAAATGTATGTAAAAAAAAAATCTGCCGTCCCGGGTTATAAATGCACGGTGAACCTGTCAATGCGAGCGAAAACGCACGCAACGCTCAGGCTTGTCCTAATGAATTTGAGTCATCGGATGACTTTGAAACTTGGATGAGGGGCCGACGCGGGTACAATCATTAATTCTGAATCGTTCATCTTTCGGGCTGTTTTGCATATTATTTTTGAAGTCAGGGAATAATATTTTTATGCAGAGGGTCAGATTCGTCACCGACTTCACAAACAATTATTTTCTGGTGGCGTGTTCTGAGCTGCTGCTAAATAAATTATGCAATTTAATTGTAATGAAGCTCAGGGAGGGAAAGGTCCAATGCTTTCGCTGTCATTTTAATGGTTCACCAGTATTAGGTTTGTCACCGCCGTTACCCAGAATCCTCGCTGCAGCGGCTGCTCTATCAGAGTTGAATATTTAAGCGGTCGGTGTGACTTTTATATACAAAATGGTCCTAAATGACTGAAGAGGTCACGTAATTATTTTTGCAGATTAACCACTTCCAATCCGGACACTTTCCCCCCCTTCCAGTCCGGACACTTTCACCCCCTTCCAGTCCGGACACTTTCACCCCCTTCAGTCCGGACACTTTCACTCCCTTCCTGTCCGGATACTTTCCCCCCCTTCCAGTCCGGACACTTTCCCTCCCTTCCAGTCCGGACACTTTCCCCCCCTTCCAGTCCAGACACTTTCACCCCCTTCCTGTCCGACACACTTTCCCCCCCTTCCAGTCCGGACACTTTCCCTCCCTTCCAGTCCGGACACTTTCCCTCCCTTCCAGTCCGGACACTTTCCCTCCCTTCCAGTCCGGACACTTTCACCCCTCTTCCAGTCCGGACACTTTCACCCCCTTCCAGTCCGGACTGTAGCTGGCCAGCTAAGACCAGTCCTAGGTTGTTAATATGGTTCACATATATATGTATACCAAACCTGCCAATAACCTCAGTACAGTGTATATGTGCATATGTTAAAGCCAAAAGCAAAATCATTGCTGTAATTTATGTCTTTGATTGCTATATGACATTTATATATTCATTGTGTTAGCAGAAGCAGAAAAGGAAAATATGCCTTTAAGAGTTAGTATAAGGTGAGCCAATCACAGACAGCCTCATACTGTACAGAGCCTTAACCAATCCCAGCCAGTTTCACATTTATGCCTGTGTAAAACTCCCTGCTAGGATTTTCTAGAGACACATGCTCACCAGACAGAAGAGGAAACAGACAAAGTTCCAGTCAGAGAAGCTTTATGGAAACAGAGAAGGCCAAATAGGTATTTAATGCACTTGTGTGTTCCTCTATTGTTTAACAGTGCAGGTAGATCTGTGTCTAAAAATGTTGTATGTGTTTTTACTTGTAGTTCCACTGAACTTACGAACTTATCGAACTTACGAACTTATCGAACTTACGAACTTATCGAATATAACGAATTTATAAATCCAAGTGAATTTATCAATCTATCGACATATACAGAACAAATTTATCGAATCTATTGAACCTATCTAAACCAAAGGAAAGATGGCGACGGGAGCAGACATGTGTTAGGAGCTCCTGCGCTCCTAGCCCCAATCCGCTGCCATCCGGCCCGCAGCGGACCCCAGCGGGGCCCCTAAGACACTCCCGGCCCAGCCCGACCACCACGGCAGCACCACCAGAACGGGTAAGCTGCCACCACCGATCCCCACAGACCTGCCAGCCTTCGCAGGGCCCTCCCCACTAGCCCTGTGTCCATCCCTGACCACCAGGAATCAGCTCAGGCCCACTGATCGCTGCTCCGCTGCCCAACCCATATATCGGTTCTGGGCCCACCCCTGTACACCCTGCACCCAGCTACCGGGCACCCAGCTACCGCCCCTGGACACCCACCACCCAGCTACCGGGCACCCAGCTACCACCAGCTACCGGGCACCCAGCTACCACCCCTGGACACCCAGCTACCGGGCACCCAGCTACCACCCCTGGACACCCAGCACCCAGCTACCGGGCGCCCAGCTACCACCCCTGGACACCCAGCACCCACCCAGCTACCACCCCTGGACACCCAGCTACCGGGCACCCAGCTACCACCCCTGGACACCCAGCACCCAGCTAACGGGCACCCAGCTACCACCTCTGGACACCCAACACCCGGACCACCCAGCGAATCAAGACGTCGCCCCAGCGAATCTCCCGGACCACCCAGCGAATCTCCAGCTTCAGCCACCAACATCACCAGACGCTGTGCCTACCAACACCCCCAGACATCGCACCCTACGACCCCTCCACTCGCCGATCCACCGGACCCACTGAAGACCCCTCGGACGCCAGCATACTGCACTCACAGATTGCAGCTACTGAAGGACTCTAGTGGACTCCTCCACGGTGATACAGACTCTCCACATCACCTCGCCCTGACCCATATCCCTTCACCTCCCCCGACCCGAACAGCACTGCACTCACCCCAGCATGCCACCTGCACTTCTCCTCCTCGTCTTCCTCTCCTCCATCCCAAAAATCGCCTCCCTCTACCCGCCCACCCCCCCAAAACAGCTCTACATTGCCCCTTCACTTCTGCCCTCTCCCCACTACGGCACTCACCACCTCCTCCTGGTACTCCACTCCCCGGTCGACCCACGTGCCACCACTACCAGACCCACACGCTCCTACACCTCCCATTCCCATGCCACCCTCCTCACCCTTCTCCTTCTCCTATCCGCCGGGGACATCTCCCCGAAACCCTGGCCCCTCACCACCTCTCCCCCCCCCCTCCAGGGACCCCCCTGCCCCCGCCAGCCGCCGCAACCCCCCTCAACCTCATACCTGTGCACCTCCTCCCCGCATCCATCCCCCCTCTCTCGGTTGCACTTCTGAACGCCCGTTCGGTTTGCAACAAACTAACTGCCATCCATGACCTCTTTATCTCCCGCTCCCTCAACCTCCTAGCCATCACCGAAACCTGGGTACAGGCCACTGACACTACCTCCCCTGCGGCACTCTCCCATGGAGGTCTCATCTGGTCCCATTCACCTAGATTGGGCGGTCACAAAGGTGGTGGTGTCGGCCTGCTCCTATCACCGCTGAGCACCTTCCAGGTCCTCCCTAACCCCCCCTCCCTAACCTTCTCCTCCTTCGAGGCTCACTGCATCCGGCTCTTCTCACCCACCCCCCTAAGGATCGCAGTGATCTACAGGCCCCCCGGATCCATAGCCCGCTTCCTGGATGACTTCGCCGCCTGGCTTCCCTTCTTCCTCTCCTCTGAGCTACCGACCATCATCCTCGGGGACTTCAACATCCCCATCAATGACAACACCCCAGCTACTTCCCAACTCCTCCACCTAACCTCCTCCTTCACACTCACACAATACACTCAATCCTCCACCCACATCAATGGGAACACCCTGGACCTCGTCTTCTCCCACACCTCTGTACCCTTAACCACTTCACTAACACCCCCTTCCCTCTCTCCGACCACCACCTCCTCACGTTCTCCACCTCCCCTTCCCCTAACTTCCCCCCCCCAGTGCGCCAAACCATCACCAGCCGCAACCTCCGCAACCTGCACCCGGCCCCCCTCCACTCGGCTGCCGACCGCTTACACGACAGCATCCTTCCACTGTCATGTCCTGACCTAGCCACTAACACGTACAACGACTCACTATCAGCTACCCTAGACTCTCTGGCACCCCTAACCACACGCAACATCAAACCCAGACCGCTCCAACCATGGCAGAACGACCACACTAAATGCCTCAAACGTCGCAGTCGTGCGCTGGAGAGACTATGGCGCAAAACCAGGTCCCCTCATGCATTCTCCCTCTACAAATCTGCCTTCCTCACCTACACCTCCTCCCTCCACGCCGCCAAGCAGGCCTACTTTGTTAACCTGATTAACACCCTCTCCACCTGCCCTCGCCGACTCTTCTCCACCTTCAACTCCCTGCTCTCTCCCCCCCCTCCTCCACTTAGTACCTCACTCACCGCCCACGAAATTGCCACTCATCTCCACAAAAAGATTGACGCAATCCGCAAGGACATAGTCAACTTGCAATCTACCTCCCCATCTAGCCTCCCCCCTTCCATCACCCCCTCATCTCTCCCCTCCTCTGACCTCGCAACGGCACTGCCCCCCCCACCACACCCAAGGCCCTGCCTACCGTAACCCCCCCATCACTGCACTCCTTCAGCCCTACTACCACTGAGGAAGTCAGCAGAGTCTTCTCAGAAGCCCGCCTCACTACCTGCCCCCTGGACCCTATCCCCTCTCAACTCCTCCGGTCACCCCCCTCTTCCCTCATCCGCTCCCTTACCCACATCTTTAATCTCTCCCTCTCTACTGGCGTCTTCCCCTCCCCCCTAAAACATGCGCACATCACCCCCATACTCAAAAAGCCCTCCCTGGACCCCACTGACCTCAACAACCTCAGACCAATTTCCCTGCTGCCACTCACTTCCAAGCTCCTTGAGCGCTTGGTCTTCGATCGCCTAAGCGCCCACCTGACTGACAGCAACCTCCTTGACCCACTACAGTCCGGCTTCCGTCCCCTACACTCCACCGAAACTGCCCTCCTCAAAATCACCAACGATCTACTAACCGCCAAAGCCAAAGGCGACTACTCTGTCCTCCTCCTCCTAGACCTCTCCGCGGCCTTTGACACAGTCGACCACCCCCTCCTCCTTAATAAACTACTCTCTCCTTGGCATCAGAGACACCGCTCTCTCCTGGTTCTCGTCCTATCTATCCCAACGCTCCTTCAGCGTTTCCTACAACGGTGCCACCTCCTCCTCACTCCCCCCCCTCTCTGTTGGGGTCCCCCAGGGCTCTGTCCTTGGACCCCTTCTCTTCTCCATCTACACCTCCTCCCTTGGCAAACTCATACACTCCCACGGCTTCAATTACCACCTCTATGCCGATGATACTCAAATCTACCTATCCACCCCTCACCTCACCCCCACATTCTCCGCCCGCATCACTCACCTCCTAAACGACATCTCTGACTGGATGTCGCTCCATTTCCTCAAACTCAACCTCTCCAAAACCGAGCTTCTCATCTTCCCCCCAGCCCGCGCCCCCCCCCCATCCTTTCCATCACTACCAACAACACCACCATCAATCCCGCCCAGCAAGCCAAAGTCCTTGGCGTCATTCTGGACTCAAACCTTTCCTTTCAACCTCATATCAAATCTCTCACAAACACATGCAGACTCCACCTCCGCAATATCGCCAAGATACGCTCCTTCCTTACCCCAGACACCACTAAACTACTAGTACACTCCCTGATTATCTCACGCCTGGACTACTGCAACTCCCTCCTCACCGGCCTACCCCAGTGCAGGCTCTCCCCGCTTCAGACCATCCTGAACTCAGCGGCCAGACTCATCCACCTCACCAGCCGCTCCACCTCTGCCACCCCCCTCTGCCTCTCCCTCCACTGGCTCCCCATTGCCCAACGCATTAAATTTAAATTGCTCACCCCTGACCTATAAGGCCATTCACAACACTGCCCCTAACTACCTCACCGACCTGATTCCCAGGTACCACCCTACCCGTACCCTTCGCTCTTCACAGGACCTCCTTCTATCTTGCTCCCTGGTCTCCTCCTCCCACGCACGACTGCAAGACTTCTCCAGGTCCTCCCCCATCCTCTGGAACTCACTACCCCAATCCATCAGACTGTCACCTTCCCTCCTCACCTTCAGGCGCTCCCTGAAAACCCACCTCTTCAGGGAAGCCTACCCCACCCTCACCTAACAGCCGCTGCCCTTCCCTCCTCCTACCACTCCATCCCCCACAGCCGTTTCCTCCTGTGCCTCTACCCCCTCCCTCCTAGATTGTACGCTCGAAAGAGTAGGGCCCTCTAACCCCTCGTGTGCTGTTTGATGTTACTGT